GCATGGTGTATTCTGGCTGTGAGATGTAGCCAAACGCAGCCAATGACGCCTGACGTAAGGAAGGACGGCGAAATGGTTGCGAGAGCGCCGCACACAATCTGACGGAAAGGCTCAGATGGTACTGCCTACCACTTGGGCATAATCACGTGCTTCAGCAGTTGTCACGTCACCTCGTCAGAGATGAGATCAATGTACGTACGCATCTTCACCCTTTGGGCTTGTTTGGGCAACGAATCCTTCACCACCTGAATTCAAATACCACGGCATCCTAGACTATGACATGCCACGACCCGTGCATGTGATGATGGCCTCCTGCCATGGTTCTGTCACGACAGCTGACATGAGAAAACCCAACATACGTGTACACTGCAGATGATGGGTGACCTTGGGTGACCACGTAATTTTCATGTTCAACAGATATTATATGAACTCGCGGTGCAACATCAACACCCACTCATCCCGGCGCAGTTTTTTTTGGGCGGGTATTTCGTCGGACTGTGCTGTAAAGTTTGGCACAGCAGAAAATAGTTGCCATCTTTCTTTCTCGTTGACAGGATGGCAGCAGTGTCGGCGTTGCCTCACTCACTGTAGTACTCTGTACGGTATATCGTTGTCGCACGCGAGCCACAGAAGTTTCTCCCTTCTCTTGAAACTCTTGAGACCAAGCAACACATGCATGGAGAACGCCGTGCCTTTCCGTCAACGGCCAAGCTGTGCGAACCTCTAGAACTTTCGTGCGCATCATGTTAGCCACCGCGTTGGCATTGGGGGCAAATCACGTTGGTGAACGCACATTATTATTTATTCTCGCCAAAAAACATATTTTGTCACGTGGCAAGTCAACGATGCCGGGCTGTTGTCGTTTTTGCGACCACTCTCGCTGCCTCGAAGCGTACCTGCTCCTGTTTTCGCCCATCAGTAAGTACTGCACCTATCGAACACAAAGTATCCGGTGCACGAGTACGCGGCGACGAGTTCTCCTCGGGCTGTGAGTATCACGGAAAGGTACCCCCGGGGAAGACCCCGCTTCCGTGCAAACGCTCGGGATTTCAATGCTGTCGATAGGGGTGCGTCTTGCTTTTCGGGACCCGATGTCGTTAGTGTGAACCACGGCGGCCTACGGTCGTATCCGGCCCTTCAGCCGATGATCCATGCTCGTTGATACTATCACTTCATTGATGAAGACGTTAAGCAGGTCTGCCGTATACGGATACCATCGTCCCGGCGGAAGGCCTGTCCTGATAGATATGGCGGGGCTCCACGTGGAGGCGTTTCACTTTTCAAGTTTTCGGGTAAAGAGAATGTTGCAATCACACGATAGTATTGCTGTTCCTCTAATTTGGCCATCACATGGAGCACTGAGACAGGTTTGATGCACGCGTACTTATCACAGGGTCGCTCTGCTGTAGCATCATGAGGACGTGTTCCTCTTCAGCGACGCAGGGGTCGTAAACGAACCAACTCATCAGACGATTTACCGGTGTCAGTGTTGTTCTCAACAGCAATATTCATGAACAATTTGGTCTGTCGGGCAAGACGGTACAGAATGTATATCCTCATGGTGGAAGCTATTTGACGCATGGTACCACAAACTCTAATGAGACGTATAAATAGGTTACGTTTCATACCAACTGCTCCTGAGTGCTTGGCGAATGCCGGCCGAAACATCTGATACGCGCAATGATCGTTCATTTGTCGACGGATGAAAAAACGTTTTTCCAGGTGGAGAGAGAAAATGCGCTGAGGCTACGTAGGAAATTATCCCATGGTGCTCCCGTATCGCCCCGGATACATTTGAAGACCGACTGCCTTCATCATGCGAATGGCGTGTACAGTTGCGGAACACTTGTGTCTCCTCTGTCCCTCCGCTACTCTACACTTTAGTCGATCCCTGAATGCCTCCTGGAAGGGCTTGCAGGACGCATTCAACACACGCCGAACTCTTGACCTGTTTTATACTCGCCGTGAACGCCTCTCGCCTCGACGAACGGCCACTGTCTTTTTCACCGTGTGCATCTCGGACCCCCAACCGGACTCCAACGGTTCCAACATTTGGTTTGGTGGATAATTGGTCACGCAGGCTTCCCGCCGACGAGGTCGCGCGTGTTGAATATTTTCGTCGAAAAGGCAAGCGACGTGCTGGTGCCTTTAGCTGCAGCCACACCAAGTCTGCTTCGTGGTGTCGGTCGCCACAGACCATTGCATCTGGGCACATACTGAGGGATGGAAGGGGGAGGCGAGATGATTGCCAGGAGTATCCTAAACGCTAGCAATGCCTTGACTATATCCCGAAACCATGCTTGGTTGGGCCAATGCCTTGACTATATATCCCGAAACCATGCTTGGTTGGGCCGACGGCCGTAGTGACACATGGATCTCGCGAGGGAACGATTTTCCCGTTGGATGTTCAAGCGTGTACATCTATCGCGAGCAGATAGCACTGCGACGCAGGCTGCCATCGTGGCGGATTGAAAGGATAGGATTAGGCTTACGTGTTTGGAAGATTGTCCAAGGAGGAATAAGAATGAACCCCCAGCAACGTGCAGAAACATTAATCGCAAAAGGCCGCGAGCGCAATATTTTGTGGAATACTCTGAAAGCTCCTACGAACGCAGAGCGGGCAGCAGACAGGGGTCACAAGGTCGTCATCAACAGTGGGTGATTTAACGTTATGTAGCGTAAGCAAATAGCATACTGAGCCACAGAGAACAATCACACGCGTTCGACTAGCGCCGAGAAAATGAACAAACCCATCATGATTCCGCGTGGGTTTCGACGGTTGTCAGTTTCACTCTCTTGATGTACAAACGGCCGATCGATCCTTTTTCTCTCTCTACTCGCACTTGGCGCATCGGGTTGCAAGCGTCGTGATGGCGATCGATGGATGGCGATCCATTCTTCGGGGAATAGGAGTGAACGAAGAGGAGGTCGGACGCCATCGCCGTCAAAGGAGAGGAAATTCACGGCCGGGTTATTGACCACCACCCCGCACAGGGAAGCATGGTGATGTACATGGGATTCCGGCAGGGGGCATCGCATGCTATTGCAAGCGGCATCAGACGACCGTCCAAACCCGTAACCCTAAAACCGTCCAAAAGGTGGATTTGTACTACGAAAGTAGAATGTAGCGATCAGAAGGTGGTGGAGGACGGCTTGGAAGAAAAAACCGACATTCCGAGAAAACAGAAAAGACAAGAAGGATCTCGCACAACACGACGTAAAAAGGCATCACCATGACAAAAACACGAGAGCGAGTGAAGTTGTGACATTGAAGGCTCATATGAGGGCAAGTACGGACATTGTAATATTTAAATATTGTGATGTTATGAAAATGAAACGATCTAGAGCACAGAAGAACGGTCTGACGGATCGTGACCTCATTCATCATGGTCTCTGTGTTACAAGGTGGGCCATCAGAGCCACTACGTGTTATGTGGGAAGTCATCTTGAAACAAAAAACAAGACAACATTCACTCTGTCCAACTACTACTGTAGTTGTACAATATGACTATGACTGTACTGTAGATGATTTATGGGCCAGTGGAGAAGGTTTCAGAGGAACCTTTACGCACGAACAGGAAATATCTACCACATGTAGTCTCTTGTCAGGCAGGCACTCACACGCTGCGAGGCTGATCACCACGACGTTGGAAATACCGGAAGCCTTACTACTGCGGTCTAAGCGCGCCCCTCTTCCGCTACATATGTAAACGAGTACGAACCAGATGCCGGAACCAGTGAATGGTAGAAAATATTCAAACCAATAGCCACTTACAATACTGCCGTCGTTGGCAGGTGACTTGGGCATCATGCATATCTCATTCTATCGGGTTTCGCCTCCACAAAGTTTCTCATCGTATCAACAATATCCGTTTATGCGTCTGCACTACGCGATCAAGGGTCGGCCTCTTCGTCATCACGAAGATCAACGAAGTCCAGGATGAAGCTTTCGCAGCCGGGGAAATCCATGCCGACAAACTCTTCGAACGCCGCACGGTCACCGGCCTCGATGGTGACGCGAGGTTTCTCGTTCACTTCCTGGTGATCTTCGCTACCAGCGCCTACGGCATGCGCTTGGCCATTCGCAGTACATCCAACACCTTCGAGAAGACAGACGGCTTGCAGTCGATCACATGCCGCCCGTTGCTGTCGAGATCCTTCTTTGCCACCGGCCGGTTGTCCTCGTCGAACCGAGAGGCAAGAGCGGAGTCGGGGCAAATCCGCAGGGTGGAGCGCATAGTGGTCATCCTGGTCCCGCGCATCTGGACCATACACCGCCGTCAAGGCTGTTGCGCATGTGGTCCTGGCCTTGGCAAGGGAAAGCTCAATGCCGGCTTCTTGCAGCACCATCTCCTCTTCCAATAACATGCCAGCAACCAAATATCCGAAGGTGGGGACATCGTCTTTAGTCCTCACAGGTGTCGTCGGCGCCACTGTGCCTTGTATGGCGTGAAGTTTCCTTTCGGCCGAAGAAGAGGCATCTGTTGGCTTGGGGCACACGCGAAATGTCTCGATATCCACAATGGGGCGCCCGTTGAGTTTAAGAAAAGGGGATCCGACCGGGACATCGTACGTGTAGTTCGCCGTTGTGACAGTGCTCGTGGTTCTATTCCAGTTCACCTTTAGGTCATCCCCCAGAGGTGGGCCCAAATGCTTGACCTCGATAAACGGCCCTTGGGGCCTGTCCACCCTTGACCCCACTTGATCGGTTGAAAGGAGGCCGATCCCAATCCGCTTCCTTCACATATTTGCTCCTTGAGCATGAACACGAATGCTTCCGGTCGAGTGCAACAGCAGTTGTCAGGAGCCCACGAGATGCCCGAGAACCCCCGAATAATGCTGTCCGTCCTACCTGTCTCTCGGCCCTTCACCCGGAACAAGGTCACTGTCTTCTCTGCATTGTGCATGGAAGGCAGCACCGTTCCAGCCGCCGCGGGAAGCACGGGAGCGCAGTTCCAGCCCACCAGGATGCCCAGGACACCAACCTTGAACGACAGCAGTCAGTTTGGCGCTTGATGAGGTTCAGAGATAGATGTCCCGCCTATGATTGACATCAAGACAGGAACCAGTCGTCCCGACAGACCGAGTACGCGCGCCGTGTAGTCAAGAAGGTCGAGCTTGTCGTCGCAGGCGACCTCGCCCTCGCGAGCGGCGGTATCCTCAGCCAAGGAAGAACGGGTAAGAAGGCCGTGGACGAGGTGCTTGACGCAAGTGGGGGATTCATCAAGCACGATGCGGCCATCTGAATCGCCGGGAACGCGCTTGTCCCACTCAGCCTCGAACAGGTTTTCCAGCGCCCAAGTCGAAGGCTGCTGCTGCTGCTTCCCTCCCGCCTCAGTTGAAAGCACCGAGCGGCGAAAGGAGACAAGTGAACCGCCAACGTTCAGCTTATCAATTCCTTTCTTCGAGTCTAACGGCGTGGTGATGCCGACCTGGGTCATACGCTCCCGGAGCGTCTGCCATTCCTCGTCAATGCTGTCCCACTCCTGATTTATCTCCTGCCACCTCTGTGCAAGGGCCGCCTCTGTTTCCAGAGCGAAGGCCTCCATCGTTGCCGAAAAGCTCTTCTTCTCATTCGAGTGGAAACGGAGCATGTTGTCACCGTTTCACTCTGCTTGTTCACGATACCCATATAGATACGTACCCGACAACATACATGTACGAAGGTAGAGTCGGTGTGCGCGAACGTGTGAGGTCGATGTTCGGAAACTTTGCCCATAGTTCGAAGATCTTGCTCCTGAGTGGTAGAACATTGTTCACTCGCTCTGTTCGTACACCTTCGGTAGAAAAATTGGAAACGATTGTGATTGCAAAAAAAATCCTGTCGAGCGGCGCTGTGGTAGTCTTGACCGAGGCGATGCTTGAAATGCTGTGGTGGGATATCAAACGCCGCCAAACAGTCTTATGTAAAGAAGCATGGTGAATTATTTGCGAGAACCATGCACAACCTCACCGACAACGTGCCTCACTTACCACCTTGTGACAAATATTGTGTACGCCACGTTCGAAGCCTCGGAGCAAAACATCCTTCATCACTTGGAGCCAAATGTGTGTCATGGCATGATTGTAATACTATCCCCTGCTCTCTCCTAACCAGAGCTCTGGGTAGCACGGGAATAAATATCTTTTCGATTTCGTTCGATGCTTCTCTGTATGGTTCGAGACGCAGATGCTGCTCTCTGCTGCTGTTGCAGTGTGCAGATCGGAGTGTAACGGCGAGGTTCAGATGCCGTACAACAAACAATTTTTCTTGCTCACACACACACGCGGCGCTGCACACAACTCTCGCACACGAGTCTCACTCACGCGAGACTCTACCCGCCTCCAAGTCCCTCGACTATTATAGCACCCGAAGCGATCCGCTGCTTGCAAACTTGCCGATTCCTCGCTTCCAAAGGCACTTCTTAGACCGTGGGCTGCTGCTCTGCGCCGCCGACAACAACGCCCCGCTACCGGGAACATGGGGCCCCGCTACTGGGAAGACGGGAATACGACAATACTATCGAAACCCCTGGGACGCGCTGCATTTTCCCCCGAAAAAAGTTTACTTCGTATTACATTATTGCGTGACATACGATGAACCGTGGATATGATGACTTGCCATGACGCTCTGTTATGATTCTGCCATGACAAAACCCAAGTGAATTATGTTGCCTGCAGCCGATGGCCACGTTTTTGTTCACTCGTGCACACGTACTCGCGGTTACGATGTTGTTCAGCATCAACACATTTTTTTCGTGGCTCCGAGTTTGACGTGCTTATTGGTCAGACCCATGCCGCGAAGTTTCTGGCAGATGCCAAGTTTCTCTTGAACGATAACAGCGTCGGTGTTCCGTTGGTTCGCTGCCGAACGCGATCCACTGAAACGACCTCCCACGCTTCCGACATTACTGGAAGTAGAACGAAACACTAATGTTGGCGTTCGTGCCACACCCCACGCCAAAAAAAAGTGAAGATTTCGACCAAGAGGCACCATCCCACCCTGCATCGGATAATTTAAGAAATCTGAGTCAAGGGCTCCAGGAAACCGGCAGGCATGTATCAATACGAACAACCACAATTTCATCAGATTCGAGTCGACGGCAAAAAAAGTCAAAAGGCTGGCGACAGGTCCCGAAATCCATGGTGTCTGCGAGATATCATGACGAGACAACGCCCTTGGTCAACCAACACATTGAAGAATGAATAACAGCGATGACGCCACCTTTCCTGTCACACCCCAACGTTGGAGAACTTTTGGAAATTCCGTCTACTTCATCTTGGCCGGCAAATTAGCATTTGACTGGCGAACGCTTCTTGTCAAAAACAATCACCAAAATGAAGTTGCGAGAACTTTGTCAAGTATTTTCCACGTGGCAGATCGTTGATGCCGGGGTGTTGTCATCGTCGTGTGTATATAGCTGCCGCGCAGCATTCACTTGTGGCCCCTCTCCAGCAAAGAGACGCGAAGAGGCGAACCCGAACGACAGCACAAGAATACTTTGGAAGACAAGGAGTACAGCAGTGAACGCACATTGCAGGTTCACTACGGGGAGCAAATGCGGTCGAAAAATTTTGTCGAGTCTTCGTCACAACAGCATTATCCGGAAATTGACATACTACTGTAGGATATCAGCCCTGGCGCTAGAGACACGCAAGTACTCTAGAAACACGTAAGGACACAGCAGTTTTCACAACAAAACAAACATGAACTCGTGTACCCGAGCAATAGGAACATGTGAAACTCCAGCGAGAAGCGGCAGCTGATCCCAAAAGATCCCAGCAATCGTCCAGTATATATACACGCTTGACTACCGCACGCACTAAAAACGCGGTAAACAATACCTCTACCTCACAAGACCTCACAAGACAACAGTGTCACCATCTGTACCTACTGCACATGTCAGCCAAAGAACGGCGCGACAAACACAGAAATGAGACAAAAGTCAAAGTACAACCCACGACATTCTTGCCAATATCCCGACCGTCGTCAACTACCACCACCACCATCCGTTTCCGTCGCGTACCCCAACCATTACCGTCACAGACCCGGCCTTCCCCACACTCTCAGTCGCGCTCCTCGCCGGTCCGCCACCACCGTCCTCTCCCTTACTACCTTGTTCGTCCTCCGCCTTTTCCAGGCTCACCGCCACCTGCAACGTCCCCGACGTCTCCAGGTTTGGGCAGGGGTGCCGGTACCGCTTCTCCCTGCTCCCCCGCTCCCGCAACCAGAGGCTCCTCTAGGTCGACATCGTCACAGCGGTACCACGACCACAGCTGCTGCTGGGGGGCCGGGAGGGTGCCCCAGTCCACCCCGGGGGTGACTCCGTGTTCCTTGAACCACTTCTTGCAGGAGTTCCCTCGTACCTGGAGGCGAGGGTGACCGTTCGTTGGCAGTTGAAATGCGGGTATGTTGTTCATGTGTTTATGTTTGATGAAGTTTTCTGCAATGGGGTGCTCTCGTCGGGGGGTTGGCCACTACCTGCCGGAGCCGTCTCTTGCAATTGGGGAGCTGCAAGTGTTTCTTGTTCGGGATGCCAAACACTAAACACGCCAGTAGCGTTGAAACCACGAGCGCTAGAGGTAGATGAGAGGCAAGCAGCACGCAAAAAAGGTTGCATACCGCTTGGGGTGCCTTGTTTGACATCGCACATGAGCATTTACAAGCCCACAATGCAGAAGAAAGTACTGGTCATGGGCCATTCTCAACCGCTAGACCTACATCGACGCAAGCTGACGATGCGGCGCTTCAAGGTGGAAATTTCCCAGAGCAAACGAACACTTTCGGGATGGATGCGGCGATCTCTTTCCTCTTTCATGCTCAGTTGTGCTTTTCCAATTGAGGAGAGCACTTCCTTCACGGAGCACGGAGTGATATCGGCCAACACGACGACCGACCTGTATTTCACGCCGTGACCATACATCCCCTTGTGTGCATGTATTGGTGAGCCGTTGCCGTGTTTCCATCCTCCAATCAAAGGAAGGCGTTGTCGGGGTAACGCAGGCACTGCCCCCCCCCCCCACAAGTGTAAAATATCAAAAGGAAAATACAAGGAACTCACCCCCCAAAAAAGTGACGCACAACAAGCAAGCCGCCAATATGTCTAGAAGCGCGGAAGCTCTGTTAACCGGAACGTAAGTAACATGAAACTTACGGTGCATACCTGATACTGTAGTGTTGCTAAAGTGGGGAATTTCAAAAGAACCTTGTCGTGAGATGTTTCTCTGCTTTCACCTCTTCGGTAACGTCGAGCTTGACCGGCTCGATGATATCTACCTCGTTTCCCCCCAGGAAATCGTCCATGATGCTCGATCTAGACCCCCTGCCATGCAAGAGGTTTTGGAACCACACCGGAAAACACACGTTGCGAACAAAAAAAAACGGGGCGACACAATTACTAATCGGTTTGAGAGTGATGCAACTGCCCCGTGCCCCGGCGACGGCGCAAGGTGCCTTACAAACTTGCGCGGATTCACTTCAAGTTCGTGCGGTTTCACTCTTTGCTAAATAGTTGACGTCATAGCTGACGTCATAGCTGACGTCAACACCACATCACGGAGCGTGAAGGGGGCGGCTAAGCTTTTCTCACCCCCCGACCCCGGCTTTGCAGCATATATGCGAGGTCAATGGTCTAACCAGTGTTAAGAGTTGAGATTGCGTCGGAGTTTTTTTGCACTGGGCGTCGATATCGTGAACGCTGTAGGCCATGGCTTGGCTAACCCAAAGCAGGAACGAGTAGTTGTGGTGCTCAGCTATCGTTTGGTGTGAAAAACGTGTGGATGCTGGCTGCGTGCGACTTCTTTGGTCCAAAAGTGTAGTGTTTTTTAGATAGCATGATGCGGAAAGAGAGAATCAGGCGTCCCTCTGTGGCGGGGATACCTCACACGCAGCCCCCTCCCCACAACCACCGGTCAGAGCAGACCTCCCACAACGCGTCTCTGAGGCCCACACAGTCCAACATTCGCCATCGAAAAAGCACGACGCGTGCCTGTACATGCACCTCAGTGGTACTAGAGGTCGTGTCACGTCGCGTTTTGTCGATGCGGGTGTGTTGTAGTGCCCCGACGGCCGACCTACCCCGGAGCTTCAACCGATCCAACCCCTGTGTAATTGATTGACGGCGTGGCCGTAGTGGGGAGGCCGGTTTGGACTGACAACTGCTGGCGATACAACAAGCCAAGGTTGCGGTCTTTCTAGAGCACCCGCCAGAACTCCCGATGGAGGTCTGTGGATGGAGAAATTCAGAGATTTTCCCACCGCGGGTTTCATCTGACACAGAGAGTGTAGGCCTGTCGCGGTGTCGCGTGGCGGCGGGATATTTGAACTTCTGCGTTCTACGTAAAATCTCATGTGCTTCATTTTCCATTATCATATTTGGCAACACCGATCTCTATTGGGGAGGGTCGAATCGCGACCCCCCAAGTGGATGACATGCTTTGGTATCACCAATAAGGAGCAGCCGTCATGTGCCTTCCTTCGTTGGCTCTGCTCTGTGGCGAGGTGCCCGGTCTCTTTCCGCGCAAGGGTGTCCTCCGTTGTAAACTCCAGTCGTTTTATGGAAAACTGTGAGGCGTTGCTAAATTCGGGGTTCGTGTACCCGGCCAACAAAAAAATGCGGCGCAATCTAAACTCCTAACGCTGTAACAACAACGGCATGCGGCTATGAACACACCGTAACCCCCTCGGTGTTTGCCATCGGGATTGGGTTTTCGTCGCTTGGCAACGACGTAGTAAAACAAGCCAATTCACTTCGTGAACTCGGCAACCAGGTTACCGTTTTTTTTTTTTTTTACCTCTGTTTTTCTTTTTTGGCGGTAACCTTAATGGTGGTCGAGTAGATCATGTTGTGCGGGGTGGAGAACGCTCACCCCGCGCAAGGGGGAAGATATCACCACGTTGTGTTAAAATGGTCATGCATCCTCGAGGCAGTTACACAGTGCTTACAGCTGTCTCTGGAAGTGAAAGCACCAGAAAATAAACTAAGTCATACGCAGCTGTCATCCGTACGCAAGGGAGTAAGCACAAGATGCCGAACACCCTTAGCAGGATGCAGCTCACCCTTCATGCGACTCGCCAAATACCTCACGGCGCTTCGCGCTTGGTGATGTGAGAGCCTAGTCCGGTGAGAACCTGGCGTGCTCCGTCCCGGCTTTGTAGGGATGAGAGGTCAATGGTCTAACGACTACGGCATGCACGACTATGAGTACACCCCCCCCCCCCCTTGCCTTGCCCCCCGCGAAAGTCAGACTGCACAGCACTCACCAATCCCACCCCTGGTTCCCTCCGTTCCCTTGTCGGGACAGAACCCCCAACGGTAACCCATCCATCGTGATCTCTTCCTCACTCAAGAAACCGGTTTCAGAGCCAACCGCGGCCTCCACAAGGTCCTGTAGCCTCCCGCCGTCCACGGCTTTGGAGACCCTCGACTTCGCGAACTCCGACATCGGGGGTGGCGGCTGCCGAGACCGCCTCTCCCCGATCTCCGAAGCCTCCTGCGTGTGACGCGTTACCATTATTTCAGGCGCTTTGTGTGGGCTGTCTGTGACGATGCTGGTCGATTCGCGTGGAATTTTGTACCGGTGCTATGGTCGGGGTACGGGGGATGGTTCTTGGTATATACTGTATCGCGATGCTTCGCCTTCATCCACCCGCTCGTGATCAGGGAGGTTTTCCGAAGCTTCCTACGATGCGTCTCCTACCATGTTTTGCTGCAACCATAATCTTGCTACAACTGTGGTGGCACCAGGCATAAACAATCGGTCACGAGGGCCGTCCGAGAAATCCACCGTCTTCGAGGAGGCCACCATCCACCCAAAGCTGCGCGATTTCGCCATTCCAAAACGGCTGCCTCGAAAGGTAAGGCGACACCTCAAACCGTATCTGGCTTGCCCTTCCAAGGGCATCACTACGTGAGTCTGGCAAAGATATATCTCGAAGCCTACTCAGTGGCCAACTCACCACTCGTGACTCTGTCGCCAGCGGCGGCGGCTACTGTGTATAGTGTTCTACCACATTGGCGGGGACTCTTTTTGATGGATCAACCTCGCAAGGGCCGCGTCTGTACTGAACCTCAATCATTGTCCAATGCTTTTGAACGAATTCTATATTGTTCTCGATAACTCGTGACCATGAACACCGCCTGCGCTCGGAAGTGTAGAGTGCCTCTCAACACACGACTGCAGCCACCGTACTCAACGTCCGAAGAGCTGTCTGTATACACACACACCTCTTCTGAGTCCCTCTGCAACTACCTTTGAAATACACTGTTATCCTGTCTCACCGTCTGTGCCAAACGTCGCAGCTCCTTCACCGAGAGTACAGCGGAAGCCCCAAAAGCCGTGTCCAAACCGCGCAGCACCTTATCCATCAATAAACTATTCTGAAGAATCTGAACCCGGGGGAGGTCGACACAGGCAGGCATGCAGGAAGAGGCACAGGGGGGTCGCACATTAGCAAATACGGAGTAAATGGCAGATTGAACCCATACATCGGACCCACGCGACTAAAGGGTGGTCAGCAAGCGTACAAGTAGGAGAGTTGAGACTCTTTCAAGTCCAAGACCACTTCTGAAACCGTATCCATACATCGTGACCAGACGAAGTGCCAACGAAAACACCACGCCTTTGGCCAATACACAAAACACCAAACCACCGTGCCAGGTTCAATAGGGGTCAGCTTCACCCGGCTCTACGAAATCACAAGTAACGATGCCTTCGACGTGTTCCTTCCCGTAATACCGATGCCCTCTCCGCAAAGAAACTCCTAAACCCCTCCGTACGTTGCGCTCATTTTGATGTCCACCAATCGAATGGCAAATAACCAAAACATGCTTACAGGACACGGGTATCCGAATACTCGCCATTAACGCTACTCTGTCCTCAAAACACGTTCGATGTCCGCAAGAGGAGGCAACCAGCGAAAATATGAAGCAGCACGTCACGATATCATGTTGAGAAAGGGCGAACTGCGTTGCGCAAAATATCTCCCGAAAAACACGTGTGCTAAGACGATGGGTTTCTCCGTTTGAATCCGAGCTCCCGGGGCGGCAGTACGGGGAAATGGCGGCGGTTCGGTCTCCTAGATGATGTCGAACCAAATTGCTGGAAAATGATTACCAACGAAGCGTGCTCGAACACAGCACCAAGAACAGACCTGCCGAAATCCGAGACGAAAATATTACAGCAGTCCGAATGAAAAATCCTACGCGCAGAAATTCACGTACACCCACTCACCTCGTCTTCGAGCGTTCTTATTCTCCGTTCCATCGCAGCGCGGTTGAGAGCCCCTTCCTGGCCGTTTGGTGAATCGCACAGGATTGAAGAATGCCTGTCCAAAGCCAGTATAGGACAAACCGAAACACAAGGTACCGACGAAGAGTGTTCTTGTTGTTCTTGTGAAGCTGTCGCCGGGATTTGGACGGCAAAAAACACGTCGAAACAAAACAAACCGCCTGCCGTACGCCTGCTGCACACAGCCTACCCACACGACTGTTTGTGCGCCATGTCGAATGGAAATGCTCGCCAATGCCACGTGACAAAAAAAACGATTCAACGACACCACCTGTGCGTGTTCGTCGTAACGAAAACGTGATCAGATCGCCCGTGTGTGTGTGTTTGTCCATCTACTCTGGCGTCAGCCCAATCTCGTTATAGAACATATTTACGTGTGAGCCGGGGCCACGCAGGAGAAAGGCCACACGGGGACTGTAATTTTTCTTACGGCGAAGAAGACCACACCTGCCAGACTTGAGTGCGAAACACATTCCACAGCATGCAAAGATTGACGATATCACCTAAGGAGCCAAAGCCTATGGAGCCAAAGCGATAGCCCAATGCCACCTTCAGCAAAGCACGAGTCCGGTCTACAACAAGCCGTACGTGGAACACTGGGATTAGTGGTGTGATGGTGGGAATAGAGGTGTTGCATGCAACAATCACCGTCGCTCTTGTCTGCTTGCACAGTTTTCGGGGGAAACACTTGAAATACTGCTCTCGGAGCGCCTGGGTTGAAATACCACTATTAATAGGACAAGCCTCTGGTGTGCCGGAGGGGGCACGTGAGCGTCACAGGTGTTCGAGGGGACACATGTGTCGTTGCTACCTCCCCCTCCCTCCCTTGACTAATTCCCCTTGTCTCCGGAACAACGGCCATGCGGAAGTTCGTTGTAGCCGTATAGTACGCAAAGCTGTGCCCTAAAACAGGAGTCAGAGGGAAATAGTCAAGAAGGGATATATCTTGCTTCAGCAAAACAGAAAACGCTCTGCCTGCGACGTGTACCCCCGCGGAAGCCCCCACAGCACAAGGGGCCCAGTGGTTGATGCCCTTAGGTGGGGGGGTAGTCTACATCAGTCGTGTAGCGTCAAAGGAATTCAACAGCACGGCCTGGAAAACAAGACGCACGGTAACTGTGATGCAACTCTCAGAAATGCTATTTCATAACCTTCGCCCAACTGCTGTATGGTGTTGGGAGTACTTGGTGTACAAGACCGCCTCTATTCTGAGCGCCTTCGTTGGATGCGGTATTGTGAAGGCGTTGCCGAGTCTGTAACTATCAATTGAAGACAGCTTGGGCGTCTGTGTTTCTCTACCGAGGCCTCAGCCACACACGCCACACGCCAACCACAGCGTACAACAGCCGGTGTACCACTGTTCCAACATAGGGCACTGCTTTACGCCGCTGGGGGACCGAAACTGGCCCACCCCTGCCTCGCCACCACAGGTGACACAAGATACCACCCTCCCCCCCGTTTGGACTGTTTTCAAAGCTCCAGCCAGTTCTCCACACAGCAAAAAAGAGTGGCAATGCAGAAAATGTCGGCATTGGAGCCATCTCGTGAACCACATTTCGAGAACGTATCGCTATGGAATAATCGAGCTCGCAAAATCGGTCCAGGGGGTGTGATATCTTGTGTCACCTACGGCATAGTCTCGCACGACAGGGGTGTTGAGGAGACAAGGCTCCGCACTGGCTCCACATATCTGATCTCCTCTAAACACTTGCTTGCATCAATAGTAGTTGATGCTCTGCATACAAGGGTGAAGGGTGGCAGAGCACAGATACGCATACTCCCATCATAGGCATGTCTGTCAAAGCACCGGAGGATGGTGTGCACGAGACCTCAGCCGCCCCGTAGTGCTGTTCAAGCGTGGAGGAGAAGGAAGGCCGTTACCAGTCCACCGCAAGACTCTTTCTTCCATCTGTGTTGCAGGCTGTACTCTACACACCGCAAGCTGGATTGTCATTTTCGCCATAGCAGCACACACACCCCACACGGTGGCCTCACCTCATATTGAGGGCAACGACGAAGACGACCAGCAGCCCGAGGGCAAGGACAGGCGTCAAGGAGATCAACGATTTTCGCAGCAGACGTGGACTCGACGATCTCCGCATGGTCTTTTGTATTTGTCTTTTGGTCCTCCTCACAGCAGCAGTGTATCCGCGGTCACCCGTCTCTTCCTAGTTCTCTGCTTCTCTCGCCACCGCCCGGGGAAGGCCTTGCCGACTCCCACACACCCTCGCTCCCGCCCTCTGTGCACTGAACGCAATCCCCACGGCGACAGGATATCGATATGCAATCGCAGACTCACTTGACGAACACTGGAGGGAGCTCCGACGATTTGTGCTACTCCCTCGAAAAACATGATTCGTATTCACGGAGCCCCTGCCTCTATTTTTTCGTGTCATGCGAATAATATGGAAGGGGTACGACGCTGCCCCTCCCAATCGCGTCTGAGCCGCACACGTCAAGGTCAGTTTTTACTGGTGCATCGCCGGGCTGCAGCCCGTGCCTCATGCTTGGTTTGATCGAAAAAAGAGTTGGTCGTTGCAGACTGGTTTGTATTTTTGAATCTTGACTCTTTTACGAGTTGTGGTCGACAGTCGGCAACAGCAGCAGCCCGGGGGCCGGAGCCAGCATCAGAACACGTTCCGCTCTCTCTTGCTCTCGTGTGGGTGACAGGAACTGTTCGAAAAATAGCAGTGCGTGGGCGGGCGAAGGAGCAGCGGGACGGAGAGCTCTTATAGGACCCAGGGACAGGCTGAAGGGCTTGGAGAACGTGTGGAAAGCTAGATAGCGCCAAGCACGAAATAGGTGAAAGCTCCTACTGGAAGTTTTCTGGTTTGTCTCTTGTCTGGATGTTGCAAGACTCCACCGCATCCCGTTCGGCTGTGGGTATATCTCGAATGGGTAGTCTTTCTGTGTGTGTTTTTATTATTCCTTAATCCCCCGTATCAAAAAGCCAACCCGACCAGTCAGTCAGGTGAGATCAGGTGCCGGTGAGACGCCTTATTTACTGGTTCTGGCGCCGCTCCACTCTCTCCATTAAGGTGGTAGCGGTGCTGCTGCTGTCATGCACACCCCGCGGGAGGCACGCCTCGGAGTGCATCTCCTGGTTGCCCGTGGAGTCTTCGAAAGCCAAAACTCTCCAGATGTGTTACTTAGTATCGGGTGCTGCTGTAGCATGATGAGGGCAGGAAAGTCGGTCACCCTTTTGCCAAGCAGTGAGTCCCCTGGCCACAGAACATTTGGTGATGACCCGAGGACAAAGTTCGCATCCCTTTCAGCAAATGATTGTCTTTCGCAGCACATTGCCGCGGGAATGTTGTGTTGGGACACAAACATGTATTTCGACCTCGTGATCCACACAGGTGACACGGATGCAGTACAATGTATTGAATGCATAGCGAGCCCGCGCTCCTGGAATTTCCCAGTTTCCATGCAGTTGCATGGTTGCCGCCGAGCAGCAGCCGGAACATCGGTAGTGCTGCTTCAACTTGCGACGAACGGCTCGAGAACAGAAGGCAATACAAAAGCCGCGCGTACGTTAGATACGAGATAGGCACGAGAACTGGTACGCGGCAAACATGCGCATGCAGTGAAAATCTTCAATTGAACAGAGGCAACATAACAAGAGTTCATTATTTTTCCGAATATATGTGCCCAAGTCCATTTTTTTCTGAAGACTTCATGCCGTAGAGACTTCGAACGCGTCCCTTTGATTCGGGTATTCGGGTACACTATAATATCTCAAACGCGTAAATAGTGTGTTACTGGCTAGTCTTAAGATTCCTACCTCCATCACGGCTGGCCAGTTAATTAAGTGATTTGCAAGGCACTCCGGCACAGCTCGTTTTTCAGTTCCCGTAATTTTTGTTATCCCCCATTGCGTTTGAATAGTATCTGGGTCCATTATTTCATTCTCCCTCCCTCGGGGTCGCCTGTGTTCGCTGCATTTCACAACTTCGTTTTACCCGAATGTCGTGTGGCCTACTCACCTTATCTTCAGTCAAAAGAAGACACCGGCTATCAGGGAGAAACGTTTGACCAAGCGTCGGTTCAACGTGTTGTGTGCCCTTTCTTATCAGCATCGACTGCACTAGCCGGCTGACCAATCAAAATGCATCAGTCCAGGGCGGCTGAAACAAAAATCCTTCTAAAGGCCATCCTCTGGAACCCCATGATAGAGCGTCGTGGGGAGGGAACCTGCTCTCCGGACCAAAGGGCAGGGACGGTATCAAAGGAACAAACTGAGTTTGTGTGTCCAACGCCTCACACACATCGTGGCGCGTAAGACGGCGAGCAACAACGAACGTGACACTGTTCTGCAACCAATGACAAAATTGTATCCGCGGGTACACCATACAACCGAGGCGTTCAGCTGAGACTCTAAGCTTCTTCACCACCCCCTCCCCCAAATGCATCGAATGACGGCTGATGTTCTCCTTCCCTACCCCGCTTCCTGCGCAACTTTGCCTCACGACCGACACCTGCCCTTGGTTGCTGTACAGCCGAGGACCGTCCGGTTGACATCGGAAACTTCGCAATAGCAGCAGCTTCAGCAGCAGCAGCGGCGGCGGCAGACCCACGTGGATTCCGAACCGCAACAAGCCAAGTCGTTCGAGGGCGGAGGACCTCCTAGAGAAAAACGAGTCATTTTCGTCCGTCTGACTGCGGTGCTCTTTCACCGGGTGGTTTTGCCTGTCTTGTCTTCGTCGAACAGCACCCGCGGATATTTGGAAGCCGGAAAGAAGGCCCGGTTGAGCGAAAGCGGCGGAAGCGGCGGCGGGAATGGCATCGCCTGCGGTGGCATCGACGGCGTCGACTGGGTGCCAACAACAGGGCAGGAGGCGGAAGCCGAAGGTCGTGTTCCACGTTACTGGTTTCGGGGTGTTCAATGGTGTAGCCGACAACCCGACCACGCACCTCGTGAACGATCTGGAGGGAGAGCTGGAAGCTCGCCGCCGCGGCGGCGGCGGCGGTGGCGGCGACTGCAAGGGGGGACAGCGGATTGGAAAGACGGGGCAGACCGGGGGGTCTGAACCTCCAGCCTTGGACGGGGATGACGGGGAAGAGGACTTCGAAGTCCGGTCGTGCACGGTGCTCCATGTCTCGGCCGAGGTGGGCGGTCGCCAGCTCAGGGAGCTTCACGCCGCGAGCTCGGCCTCCTCGAGGGGGGGCGGCGGGAGGGAAGCGGTGTTGAACGGTGACCCTGCTGCTTCGGCGGATGGCGGTACCGGGGGTCTCGGAAACGCGAGCGTTGCCGCCGCGGACGGGTGCGGTGGTGGCAGTGGCGAGGGAGGTAAGAGCGCCGACGAAGGGGGCGGCCCCGGCTGCGCGAACACCGAGCAAGGCGATGCGACCACCGGCGGCAACGCCACCGCCGTCAACGGCGATAACGACGAAAAAGAGGGCAAGGATAACGAAGATGATGACAGCGGCGCCACGGTCTTCGTGCACTGCGGGGTTAACGGCGGGTCCAAGAGGTTCGCGCTGGAGACCCAGGGGTTCAACGAAGCTACCTTTCGCGTCCCGGACGAGCAGGGATACCGCCCCTCCTTCGCCCCCGTGGAGCAGGACAACCCCTTCACGGAACACTGTCGAGTCACCACCGTACCCGTCGCCGACGTCCTCGCGCGCCTCGAGAGATCGGGCTGGGGGCGGGAGTACGTCGAGGAGTCTAAGGACGCGGGCCGGTTCGTGTGCAACTACGTCTACTACTCCTCGCTCGGTCTTTGCGAACGGTCTGGGGGACGGGCGCCGGCGGCGGCGCCCGGGAAAGGTGGAGCAGAAGAAGTCGCGGGACCTTCGGGAGAGGGTGGGGAAGTAAAGGACGCCTTTTGTTTTAGCGGAGATAGTGTCAGCGAGGTCGCTGCTGGAGCAGCCACGGGACCCGGTGAGCGCCGCAGCCTGGATTCGGGTAATGGGGCAAAGGACGCCTTCTGCTTCAGCGGCGACGGCGGCGGTGAGGTCGCTGCCAGAACGGCGGGAGCCCCTCCGGCTCCGAGCGGGCGCCACAGCCTTTTCATCCACGTACCTCCGTTCGAAGCCATCCCTAAGGAGAAGCAGCTCGCGTTGCTTGTGGCATGCCTCTCGGCGATCGCGTCGTCCCTGGCGTCGCCGCCGCCGCCAGTACCCCGAGAGTCCGGTGGCAACAACGGTCTTCTCGGCGGCACCCCCGCCGTTGCTCCAGCGGCAGCATCATCGCCGCCCCCGCCGCTCTCGCTGTCGACGTATGAGGCAGCGGTTCTAGCGGCCGAGCCAGAGGCGTGTTCGCCGGACCCTCCCGCCCCGCTCCCCTCCCCAGACAACGCCGCTAAGAGCAGCAGCGGCGGCGGTGTTGAATCGGCGGTGCCCCCGAGTTCGACCGGACGGGAGTCGTCAATATGGGAACGGACGGCTCGAGAGCAAGGGAGCGAGAGTCAAGGCGGAGTCGCGCTTGAGAATGGTGGGGGTAACATGGGGCGGGAGAAGCTGGTTCAGTTTGCGCTGGATGGCCTTGCGGACAACCAAGCGGAAGGTCGTGTGGGAAACCGTGGCGGGGGTGGGGACAAAATCTACCCGGAAGGAACCGGAGGGCACAGCGGCAGCGGTGAAGGTCAGGCGGGCGAACTCAACGACGAGGAGGAGGAGGGGCAGGAAGAGGGAGAGACGCTGGCTGACGCGACCCGCCGTAGGCTCATCGAGGCCGGCTTCGACGGGCTCGACGTCGACGCGGCCATGGCCACCACGGGCAGCGACAACACCGACGTCAACATGGAGTTCCTGCTCGACATCACCCCGCTTCTTCCTCGCGGGGCCCCCTCCGACGCGGGCGGGCTCTACCCGAGGGAGTTCGCCACCAACGAGCCTGCGACCGGTAGACCCGCCGGCGGCAGCGGCGGCGTTGGTGCCGACGGCGAACGTGGCAGGGGCGAAACAACGTCGCATCACCGGCGCCGCGGCAGCGGTAGCTTGGGAGCGAATCGGTCCAAGGGCAGGGGCGGGGTCTCGCCCGCGGGGATGGGAGGCGTGTCTCCGAAGTGGATAGGGGACGTTTCGCCCGCCCGTGACGGCGTGGACAGGGTCCCCAGCGGCTTTGGAGGGTCCACGAAGTCGTCGTCCGGCGGGGGCGGGGGATTGCTCAGCAGGCTCCGGCGCGGCCACCGCAAGCCACCGAGCGCCGCTTCGGCGGCGAGCGAGGTCACCGCCGAGGATGACGCTGGAGAACGCTCGTCCGAGCAGAGAGCGTTGTCGTCGTCCTCCTCCTCGGCGTCGTCACGGCTGGTACCCTCCTCCTCCGCCACGTCGCCCCCGCCGCAGCCCAACCGGCGCGCCGCCGCGCACGTCATCCGTTCTCACAGCCCGCCCCCGGTGCGAAGCATCGGGGCAGGGAACGGGTTCCGCGACGAGCGGAAACGGAGGGGATCGGGGTCGAGAGCGAGCGCGTTTTCAGCGGCCGCCGGGTGGGGGGAAACGTCCCTGTCGGGCCCTAACCTCACGCTGGCGCTGCTGGTGCGGCTGGACCTTGGAATGTCGCCCGGGACACTAGCGGCGCAGTGCGCGAAGGCAGCGCTGGCGGCGGCTAGGAAGGCGGAGGGCAGCGGACGGTCCGACACCCTTGCCGTGTGGAGGGAGGCCGGGGAGTCGATGATTGTCCTTGGAGCGGAGGATGCCGCGAACCTGGACGCAATTCTTGTGGTGAGAGCGGTGGTGAAACGTCGTGTTTATTAGTGCGTTAGGAACAGGAGTTGATACGCGCGTGATTGGTGTACGCGATGAACAGCTCCAAGACAGGTTGACAAGCTCTTGCGGGGTGGTGAGCCCCCCCCCCCGCCCCCCCCCGCCCATGTAGGAACGCTTGGTCGTCGGTGATCGGTCCTGTGGGAACATTGCTCCGTCCCCTCGTGGACGCGTGGTCAACGGTCTACCCTCCAAGGCACGCAAAACATAAGAGCACGCCCCCTCATGTGTTCCCGTGCCCCCCACGCCTGTCTTCTTGTCATCCTCCCGATGGACTGCGCGCACGCGCTGCTGATGCAGTTCGGAGCTTCATCTCACCTGCCCATCACCATGGTCCGAGACAAGCAAGCGGCATGGGTGGGGAACGTGCGGGCGGACACGTGCACGGTTGCGGCGATAGGCCCGGCGCCCATATCGTCCCTTCGCACCATCGCCGGAGGCCTGCGTGTGCTGTAGAAGAGGCCCTTGTCTCGGCCTCCTGCCTCGCGCCTCGCCTAGCTAACCCGCTTTTTTTGCTCCAGAGTAAGAGGAAAACGCTGTTTTGATTTGCGGTGCGTCGGCAGCTCCTCCGAACGGTCGAGAGCAAAGGTCTAGAACGGGAGCATGGCCCCGCCTAGAGGAATGTTTGGATGACCTGGCTCTCGACATGGCTTGGAGTGTGAAGTTGGCTGACCCTAGATCATGATCGTTTTGTGGGATGTGGTGAGGCTGTGCCGGCCGGTTCCTATCGCAAAGAAGGGGAGTTGTGGTCATGGTTCCCTGGCGCACCTTTTTTTCTTCTTCTTTAAATGCGTGCCATGCAGAATTGCAAGCGCGAGAGATGTTCCTCCTCCTCATTTGGGACGTTGGCGAAGCATTGGCAACGCAGTATAAGCCCAGTGCCTTATCTTGTGATGCCCTCTTGCTGTGCCGAAGCCATGTTTTCACTCGGTAAATAGTCGCTTTCGGTAAAATAAGTAGAAAGTCTTCCCACGTGTTAATTTTTATTTGTTTAGAGTATTTTCAAGGTGTGGTTTTCGCCTCTTAAGAGTAAAATTTGTGGTCTACAAGAACAGGGCTTTTGGTTCGCCGCGTTTTTGGCGACTTTTCCCCCCCCTGTCATCAAAAGCGTGCCTACTTCTTTCTGTTGTGTGGGCAATCTGGTCCGCTGTGCTAATGGTTGATCAACAACCGGTGTGTTTGTTTTGCCTCTCAAGTCCCTGGTACCCTCTACCCTTCCCGGCCGTCGTGTAGGCGGTCCACATCAACTTGCCCCTGAAGAGGTAATCCCTTTGTTTTCTTTTTTTTTTGTCTTTTCGTGTGTTAGTGTGCAAGGGAAATGCTTCCTCTTTTGTTCATTTCGTGCTTGCGATATTTCTTTGTTGAACGACGGAAAGGAGTGTTTTTTGTCCTCTCAGGATAACTTTAGTTCGTGGTGTGGACATTTCGCAGGTGACAAGCGTCCACGGGAATATTTCGAGAAAGAACTGTGACGATTGCGGCAAGCCTGTTTCGTGTCTCGTGAGATGTTGTGTATTTTCGTGTCGAAGTGATGTACTCCATATTTTTTCGGTCGGGAAGGTGTTGCAAGAATCACCGTGATCATCGTGCCCGCTGTGAACTGAACGGCGGGGGCGGGTACGGCCGTGAGTGTAGGATAACGCTTGCTGCTGCCTGGTTGGCTTTCTGAAGGCTGCTTTTGTATGAGCTGTGTTTGAATTGAAGCACACAACACTGGGTCTAAAGCAGGAAGCTCGAGAATAGGCTCAGAAGCCTTGCTTTCTTGTGCCTGGGTGGGACCGAAGTTTGGCATTGGAACGCAGTTTGGCACTCTTGCCACCCTGGACCCACTTCTGACTCATTTTTTTGGAATACAGGCCTACCAAGTTTCTTGGTTCTTGCAGGGTAAGGGTTTCGCAGTCATGGGTGTGATGGTCCCGTGTTGCGCGCTGAGCTCGGAGATCGCCCGCTTTAACCGGGGCTGATCTTGGATTGTCGAGAAGTACTTGAGAACCTCTTATTTTGTACTAGGTTCGTTTCTTGTTTTGTCTATGGGGTACTGCTGTATATCCCCACGACGACTATTTATATAGGTTTTAGTGTGGGGTCCTTGGCTGAGAACGAACCTGTTTTTTGTCAAGCCACCACGCACATGGGCCATTTTTCTTCTCTATTCGTTGTCGGTTCAGCCTGCGTTGGGGGTGCCATCTCTTGGTTTGAATCGTGGGGCCCGCCAACCGTGATTTCGCACCGACCGGTTGGTCGTTTTCTTTCGTGACGCTGCCATGCGATTCGGAGTGAGTTACGGTGTTCTTCGAGAAGGGGCGAGGGGGGGTGCTAGCTGTTGAGGAAAGTTCTCAAGTCGAAATGCTAGTCACGGCTGGCCTGGTCCCAATTGTCTGTCGTGGTGTTGATTGTCATTGTTTCGTGTCGTTGTTGATTGTGCTCGGGTAGTGGTTACGATATCCGGGAGAAGATTGATTGCCAGTTTTTTTTTTCGAGGAACTGAGAGGTGCTGGCGGTAGAAAGCTTTTCTGTGCCACCTTATATGCCGCCTCCCACATAGTCTATATGTTGTAGGAACCTAATCTGTCACTGTTTGCGTTTCGTCGTGTCGTCATGTGTGCGTTTCGAGGAGATTTTTCCTTGCGGTAGAAAGACCGAGGGGTGGGGGGTGGAGGAGCTTCGGGGGAGGACGGGTTATATTGTAGAGGTTGGAAGGATGATTTCTGCAAGTTGATGGACCAGAGAAAGCACTGCTGTGTCACATCGTCCTGTTTGTTGGGGAACGGTGGCCGGGTGTTGCTATTTTGGCGTTTGCTGTCCCATCTGGTGCAGCCGCGGTCTGTCTGCCTGCAGTGATGCACCCCTTTGTGGTACAGGCAGGCGTCGTTCGGCGTAAAATTCGTACATACTCCATGATTGATGGACTGAACGCTGATGCTGAGCATGTTCAATCATCTCGATATTCGCCTATCTTCCCTGTCACTTCTACACTTGAAAGCGTCAGTGCGAGTCGACGCTAACAATGTGCCCCCGAAAACAAATGGGAACAAGGCGTTCTTGTTGTTGCGATCCATTGCACAGATTAGATTAGTACATGTTGTCTGGGCAAGGACTGGCGAATATATTTACTGCTCAAAATAATTTTGTGTCATGAAGTGAAAAGGAAGTGCGATGGATGTATGTCTCGTTGACATGCATACTAACCTCTGCCAGCTCAGCTGCTAATAATCCCTTGTTAAAGACTCGTAGCTGATTGGCTGAGTAGCCACATGCACAACCCTCCTGTACGCGGCCAAGCAAGACGCCCCCCCTCCCCTCTCAGCTTCTTTCGCAAGGTGTGGGTACCACGGGTTCTTTTTTTCCGAATCTACGGACTCCCTCCCTTCCTTCTCTCGGTACATTTCGCATCATTACGTTGCACATCCATCGCATCACCCATCACATCATCTTGACAAGCATCGAGGCGACAAACCAGCAAGCGTGTGCTATCGAGGTGACTGGCTTGCTTTGCTTGCGTGAGGGGCGATGGCTTCCGCAGAACTGTCGGGCTCTACCCAAACCGCTGTGTTGATTTCTCCACTCCACGATGCAGAAAAGCGTGTGGGAGATTTTCTCTGTCAGGAGCATGCGGCTGTCGAGTATCATGTAGAGAGAGGTCGACCTTCTTCAGTGTAAGCTTCATTTTCAACCCTATCTTGCTAAGCCATACCCCTGGCGCGCTGCTATGCAAGGGGGTTGAGTTTGTTTTTTGGTTGAAGAGTTGCAGCGTTTCTTGTCAGCACCAAGACCGTTTGTTGGTCCTCTGTTTTTGCGGAGGGAATTTCTGTTCCTTTTCCCTTGAGAAGAAGACGAAGAATCGATCAACGATAAACGGGCGCGCACCCGAGCAGCATGGCAGCAAGCTGCTGGGCCAATGCACTCCAGCACTACTGCTGTAGTGCTTCAAACAAGGTTCCCGCGTAGCCGCGAAGTCCAGGCCCAGAATATACGCCCTCAGGCTTGTGTTACACTCTCTACGCACGCCCCTTCGCCACTTGGTGGGTGGTACCACCTTGTGTCCTGTAGGAACTGAAGTTGGTTGATTCTTGCCCACAGAGGTTCCTTTGTAGTTGAACAAACGAACACCGGCCGCCTTTGAGAGCACCGCAATTCCGACGTGGGTTGCTTCGTTCTGCTACCCCTTGTCAAGATTCGTTGCATAAAAGTCGTTCCAATTTTGGCCCTGCTTTCGTTGTTTCGCGCCGTTGTTGGGATCGTGCGAGATTCCCACATCCTTGAATGCGGCGCAATACCGTTCGTGCAAGCTGACAAGCTGACGACCCTGCCCGATGTGTTCCAGCCGCAGCAGTACAGCCGGTTGACCTCGCTCTCGAAATAAACAAACCAACACACGACATAACCGAGGGTTCTCACGTGCACTTTTTTCTTTGCTCCGGTAGAGAGCTACCAGGGGATGTTTTGTAAAGTTTTTGGCTACTAAATTAGCCCAAGTATTCAGCAGCCGGTTTGTCTCCCAACTCGAACATTTCCTCTTCGCTTGCTGTGGCATTATCTCTAATTCATAGAACGAGTCTTTCTGTGATTGCATGTAGTCTACTGTGTTTTGTTGCAACCCACGGACCAAACCCCGCACCATCGCAGCACCGTCCCCATGTGATCAATCGACATTTGTTGATTCTCCCCGGCGCCCTCTGTGTATGGATGTGCGGAGGGTACTACTGCTGTAGGGTGCTCATCGCGTATTGCCAACGCTGCACACCGACATACCATTGTAGGCTGTAGTCCGCACACGGTAGACCAAATACGAAATCGTTGGTTGATTGTATCTAACTCAATTTTCCCCTGTTTTCTCTCACGCCCTCACCCCGTACGCCTCCGTCGATCGCCCTCCGCGCCCTTGTCGTGGGTCCTCCCCTTTCTCCCCTGTGTCCTTTCCGCCCGTATGCCTTTGTCCGAACGGTCTGCGGAACAATCTCGACAAAACTCCCGTCGAAAAAAAAAAAAATCGTCGATCGAAATACACATCCGATGAAAAGCCGAACCACCTACACACCCTTCAAAGAATATTTCCTTTCGGCCTTTCGGACGACAGTAAGCAAGAAGACCCGCCTATAAAAAATAAAGCAGGCAGATGGCGACCGGTCAGCTCCAAGCCCTCCTCGACTCCTTCGAGGCCCGCCTTTCGACGGTGGAGAAGACCGTGCTCCCGGGAGGAGCAGCAGCGGCGGCGGCGGCGGCGGCGCCCATGGCTTCCGGCTCGCGAGGCCTTCCTGCGGGTGGTGACGAGGTTTCTGCCTCTGTCGCCGCCTTCGACGAGTACTGCTCCAAGTGCCTCGAGCCCTTCATGGGTGCCTGTGGGACTCTCGGGGGAGGGGCTGCCGCAGGAGTGAGCTCCGAATTTTTGTTCGGGTTTTGTGATGGTGCTGTTGTTGGTGCTGTTGCTGTCCTCGTCGTTTGTAGTGCCCGCCGGGGCGAATTTTGTTTGGTGTTGCTGTTGCTGTCGTTGTCGTTGTAATTTCGGCGGGGGTTGAGCTTCGATTATCTGGGGGTGGTGATTGTTCATGTTGCTGTGCTCGTCGTTGTAATCTTGTGGTGATGTGGGTGATTGTTCATGTTGTGTGCTTACCGTATATGACACAAGATTACACACCCCCTGGGCCGATTTTCCAAGCTCGATTTATCAACAGCAGAAAGAATAGGGATGCCGAAAACGTCGGCATTGAAGCCTTCTGGCCAAGATCTCTCCGAAAACGTATCGTTTCGTTTATACATCCTATTGGTCGTGGAGTAATCGAGCTTTGAAAATCGGCTCAGGGGGTGTGTAATCTTGTGTCGTATACGGTATGCTGGTGCTGGTGCTTTCGGCGGTCGCATCGGGTGAATCCTCTCTTAATGAAAGCGTTGCTTTGTGACGACTGCTGGCGAGATGGTGCGGCCGACACTTGCATCGGACGAGCATCGCTCGGCGCTAGGCTGCAAGCAACCCACTTTCCAGCCTCCAGTGGTGGTGGAATAGATGCGTACAGTAGGGTGTGGTTAGGTCTCACCCTGTGTACGCAACTCTTGACCCGCAGCTGGTGCACAGCACCGTAGCACAGAGCGACGACCATAGTATAATCGATCGGTGCATGTTGCACCAGGTGTTTTTGGCCGATGTCGCAGCGGGCGTCGTATGACCTGACAAGGCACAGCGCTTCTCCTTTCGGCGGTGCTACCACACTACCACGGGGGCTGTGCACTCACGTGATCATCGAGACGCAATGGCAAACGAGATTCACCGCTCCCCCGTCTCTTTAGTCTCTCCTCCAACAGCTTTATTCTACATAAACCCTCACCGCATTTCAACCGACCGTTTACCCTACCCCTGTCGGCTGTGTTCCATGCTAACCTTCGAACGCGCACGTTCGTTTCCAACGTGCAACAGGGAGCCGTGATCAAGAAGGCCTGGGCGGCGCAGCGAGACTTTTTGCTGATGGCGTCCACGTGCAAGAAGCCGGACCAGACCGTTTTGGGGGTGAGAGAAAGGACCCTCGGCTTGGATCATTGGTTGGTTTGTGACCACCTAGACTATGTATACCAGACGACTTCTGTTTTTGCGTGTGGTTGGGGTTTGGTTGTTGGTCGTGATGCCGTGGGCCCGGAGAGCGACCATGTGGTCTTGGGGACGAGCCAAAGCGCACGACGATCATAGGCTTATCCGCCTTCCGCCAAAGCTTTTGTTCAGTGTCGTAGTTGTCTAGGAATGACCCTGTTTGTGATGTGAGTCGTGTGGTCGAGGTTGAATAGCTTTGTTGAGGTTGAAAGGTTTCCACATTCTGTTTCAGCTTGTCCAAAGTGCGTCAAGTCGTGCCAATATGTCCTCGGCGCCATTCCCTCTCTCTGCTTCACGGTTGACGGTAACGCGCCACGGTTTACCGCAGGTGTTGGCCTGCCTGTGGTAGAACGATGTAACGTTGAAAGCCGTGCGTGCCTTCCCCTGTGTCACGCGTGGAAGACGTTCTAGGCCCCACCACTGCTGTACCACGCACATCGCGTGGAGTGCGGTGGACGCTCATGTGTATTTGGTATCTCGCGGCGGGGGGGCGGGGGGGGGGTTCCCCGGTTGTCTCTGGTGAAAACTCTAGGGGCATTTTTTTCAGTTGTGAGGATGCGGGGGGGGGGGGGCCCTGCCTCCCCTTTTAACCCCCGCTTGGCCCCCCCTTTAATTTTCCTCCCAATATTTTAATGATGGGGCCCCTTCCCCCA